TTTGTTTCTAAACAAACCAAAGCATTAGTTAGTGTTCTATGAACTAACACTTTTGTTTCTTTGAGGTAAGGATGGACATTGGAGAAGTAAATGTGGTCCTTATTCTTGTAAGCACAACGGTTTACAATATCAAAGACCCTTTTTACAATTACTTGGACGTCAACGTTCCATAAACTTATAAAGTGCATTCATAAACTACAAATTTTTGGATATAAGCGTTCCATAAACATGTAAAATGGATCATTAATCTCGTGGATTACAAGATTTGAGTTCCAATTTACGCATTTTTGCACCAAGATTACAACCCTGAATGACCCATTTTATACAGCCAAGTACAAAGGCCTTGGAGAAATTTGAACATATTTCACATACTATATATGCAATTGTCAAACAGGCAATGGTAATTGCATACCGTAATGTAATTGCCAAACAGGCGACGGTAATTGCATACCGTAATGCAATTGCCAAACAGGCAACGGTAATTGCATATCGTAATGCAATTGCCAAACAGGCTAAGGTAATTGCATACCATAAAGCAGTTGTCAAAAAATTAATGGTAAGTGCATACTGAATAAATAAATAAATTACAACTTTGAGGTTCTTTATAATCCATAATCTTGTAATACTATAATCTACATTAGAAATGATCTCTCTTATAATGTTAATGTAAGGGGGGACCTTAGAGAAGTAAATGTTTTGGACCTCCATGTTCCATAAACTTGTAAAGTGTATCCATAAACTTATAATGTCATAAATTACAATAGAATGGATCTCTATTACATGGTTAAGGTAATTGTGGACCTTGGAGATGTAAAATTGGTACTTATTCTTGTAAATACAATGGTTTATAACATTAAGGACTCGTATTACAGTGCTTTGGACGTAAGCTTTCCAAAAACTCGTAACGGAGATCCTTAATCTCGTACATTACAAGATTTGGGTTCTCATTTATGATTTTTTGCACCATGATTACAGGTTTGAGGTTCTTCCTTATCCATAGCGTTGTAATATCCTGATTTACAATTGAAATGATCCCTCTTACAATGATAAGGTAAATGTAGACTTTGGAGAAGGACCCCAATTTTACTAGAATAAGGACCCCAATTTACATCCTCATGGTCCGGACTTACCTATTCTTTGTAATTTGGATCCATATCCTTGTAAAATAAGGATTTACAACGCTAAGGATTATAAGAACCCTAACATTGTAATCGTGGTACAAAAACTTGTAAATCACTACCTAAATCGTGTAACTTACATGTTTATGGATCCATTTTACAACGTTAACAACCAATCTTTGTGGGCAAGATCCTTTACTTGCACCCTTTACTATTTTTCAATATGTGCGCTATTGTTTACAATGTGCACTTGCGAGGATGGTGAGGAGGATGAGGAGGATGAGGAGGTCGAGGAAAACGGGGACGAGGACGAAAATGACCCGGAAAATGACCAGGAGGACGAGGAAGATGAGGTATTAGTGGAGGAGACCACAACCAAGTCACCACCCCCTAACACAAAGGGAAAAGGAGCTGTGGTGAAAACAAAATTTAAAGGAGGGGCGGTGCATTCCAAAGAAAAAGCAGCTGCAATTAAAGGGAAAGGCAAAGCATCACCACAAAAACGCAAGACCTCTTTGCCGGAACCAGAACCACGCCCTATTAGTAAGAGGCTAAGGCTAAGGAAGAAAACATAAATTGTATTATGAGTATTTTGTCTTTGTGGTATACGTTCATAAGTGAGATTATATATTTTGTGGTAGATTTGAACTTATGTAACTTGTTTGATGCTACAAACTTATTCTATAATGATGTCAAATATGATCGTCTATTGTTGTATGTGAATGGATTGAATGAGTTAATTTGAAAGGAAGTGACCATAAGATGGAAAGGGCACTGATAGATTGGCTCACCTAGGAGGAAAAGGAAATAACTCAATTGACAAACAGTGAGTTGGAAATTGAACAAGCATAATGCATTTGACAAACAGTGTGTAGGAAATTGGACAAGTATAATGCAATTGACAAACCGTATGTTTGAAATTGCAAACATGCATGCATGCCTATTTTCTTAATGTTTGACTTCGTTTTCCACAGGATTTCACTTCCCATTCGAAATAGTTTTGTAACCCCAAATTTAATAATTTTTTTTTGGTGAGAAACATGCGCAAACGTTTACTATATTAAGGTCTTGTTTACTTCGTTTTGGACAAGTATGTTCCATATCCTTGTAAAATGCATCATTAATCTTGTAATATCGTACTTTACAAATATAAAGACATGTAGTACAACATTAGGGTCAAGGGGAACATTTGGAAGGTAAATTGGGTCCTTAGTATTGTAAACATGGATGTTTACAATATTAAGGTCTCGTATTACTCTATTTTGGATAGTTATGTTCCATGAGATTGTAAAACTCATCCTTAATCTTGTAATATCGTAATTTACAAAGATAAAGACATGTAGTACAATATTAGGGTAAATGGGAACATTCGGAAGGTAAATTGGGTCCTTAGTATTGTAAACATGTATTAAGGTCTCGTATTACTTTATTTTGGATAGTTATGTTCCAGGAGATTGTAAAACTCATCCTTAATCTTGTAATATTGTAATTTACAAAGAGAAGGACGTCTAGTACAATATTAAGGTAACTAGGGACATTAGCAAAGTGAATTGAGTCCTTATATGTGTAAACACAAACGTTTACTATATTAAGGTCTTGTTTTACTCGGTTTTGGACAGTGATGCTCCATATGATTGTAAAATGCATCCTTAATCTTGTAATATCGTAATTTACAAAGAT